ATATATATATATATATATTAATGCTCATATATATAATATAATATAATATAAAAATTAATTTTTGATAAAATAAAATTTGTAGCATACATGTTTATTTTTTGTGTTGTCTATTTATTATATATGTTGATCAAAAATAAATAAAATTGTAAAAATTGTAAGATTGTATACATTGATTTAAAAAAATCAAAATAGGAAAGATTGAAAGTTTTATGTTCTTTTTAGAATTCTTATTATAAAATATGTTTTAAAATAAATTATATCTAAAAATTTATATCACATATGAAAAACATGTTTATATCATAAATAAATTAAACTTGATTTTTATAAAATTTAACATATTTTAATATTTTTATTGGTGTTAAATTATTATAAAATGGGTCTTTAAGATTATAGTTTTAAATAGTTTGGTCATTGTCATCTTATAATTTTACAAGTCCCTTGATTATCACACCAAATTAGGGGTTGATTTTTGTTGTCGTGACCAAGTTCTGAGAGAAGATTCTGAACATATCCACCAGACTTGCCATACTGCGGAATTCTGCCTCTGTACTTGACCGAGACACTACCTTTTGCTTCTTTGCCATCCAAGACACAATGTTGGAACCTAAGTACACACAATTGCCTGATGTTGATCTTAAATCATCTTGATCACTTGCCCAGTCCGAGTCACAATAAGCATATATTTCAGTATCAGTGGTTTTCTTGTAGTGTAATCCATGATGTAGAGTCCCTTTGAGATACCAGAGAAGCCTTTTTGTTTCTTTCCAGTGAACATCCAGCGGGTTATGCATAAATTGACACAACTTATTGACTGTGTAGACAATATCAGGTCGGGTAATGGTTAAATATTGCAGAGCTCCTACTATTGACATGTACTGACTCGGATCCTAACATGCTTCTGTGCCATCCTTGGTTAGTTTTGAATTAGGTGCCATTGGTGTTTTGACAGGTTTGGCATTGGTCATGTTGAGTCTGTCTAGAATGTTTGTGACGTATTTGGTTTGAGAAAGATGAACACCACCGGCATTGTTTGAGTGAACTTCAATCCCTAGGAAGTGATGAAGTCTGCCAAGATCTTTAAGAGGAAAATATTGATGAAGAGCTTGAATGAGACTCCGTATAGCAGTGATTGAATTGCTGGTAATTATCACATCATCAACGTAGACCAAAATATATATTGATGCAGTTCTGGATGTGGAAATGAAAAGAGAAGTACCTGATTTTGCTTGTGTAAATCCCAATCGAATCAGAGTGATAGTAAGTTTCTGAAACCAAGCTCTTGGAGCTTACTTGAGACCATAAATGGCTTTCCTCAGTTTGCATACAGTATTTGAACTCCCTTGATGAAATCCTTGTGGCTGAAGCATGTATATTTCCTCCTTTAAATCTCCATTTAAAAAGGCATTGTCAACATCAATTTGATGAATTGGCCAGCCCTTTGAAACTGCTATGGCAAGAACTACCTGGATGCTGACAGGCCGAACAACTGGACTGAAGGTGTTTGTGTAGTCTAACCCCGGTTGTTGATTGAACCCTCTAGCCACTAGTCGAGCCTTGTGTCTAAGAATTGAACCATCTTGTTTATACTTGTTCTTGAATATCCATTTACACGTTATAACTTTCCTGTCTGGTGGTAAAGGAACTAATTCCCAAGTGCAATTCTTCAATGCATCATATTGAACTTGCATAGCTTGTTTCCAATGTTTGTGTTCCAAAGCTTGAGCTACAGTTGTTGGTTCATACGTGGCAAGGTAGGCTTTAGGCTTGAAGATGCTAGCTTTTGCTCGGGTGACCATAGGATGTTGATTTTCCAAAGTGTGATTGGGTGAGCGCATGTCAGTCTGTGTGTTGTCTGGTACTCCTACCAGGTCTGATGATAAATGAGGAAGAGTTATGCCTGAATCTGCATTCAAGTGATCAATATTGGAAGTGGGTGGAGCTGATAAGGCAGTTGTGCTGGAGGAGGTAGATGGAACCAGTGATGTAGGCTGCAAAACTGGAATACTTGGTACTGTATGTGATGATGTGGGCGTGTAGATTCCTGCAGTTTTGTTTGTGGAGAAAAACAAGGCACCAGGGAATGTGTCTTCATCAAAGATCACATTCCTGGATATGATAATTTTGCCATTATTGGTGAGACATTTATATCCTTTATAATGCATGCTATATCCAATAAAAAGACACTGAGAGGATCTAAAGTCCATTTTATGACTGTTAAAAGGTCTTAAATAAGGATAGCAAGCACATCCAAAAGGTTTTAACAAAAAATAGTTTGGTATTTTCTTGAATAACATTTCATATGGAGACTTTTGTCCAAAAATAGGAGTAGGAAGTTTGTTTATTACATGCAGGGCGGTGCTAAAAGCATCAGCCCAGAATTCGTGCAGCAAGCCAGACGAAGCTAAAAGGGTTAAGCCAATCTCAGTAATGTGCTTGTGTTTCCTCTCAGCTGAACCATTTTGCTGATGAGTATGAGGGCAACTTAGTCTATGAAGAATGCCACTTTCATTGAAAACCTTTGTAAGACGCATAAATTCTTTCCCTCCATCAGATTGAAACATTTTAATGTGAGTGCGAAATTGATTTTCAACCATGTTTTTAAAGTGATGAAAATGATATGCAGTCTCGGATTTATTATGCATGAAATATACCCATGTGTGTTTTGAATAAGCATCAGTAAAGTGAACGTAATATCTAAATCCCTCTCTAGAGGCATAATGTGAGGGACCCCAAACATCACTATAGACAAGCTCTAGTGGGGAACTATATACAGTGGAAGAATCGGGAAAGGGAAGAGCATGTGACTTTCCAATGCAACAGTGCTTACAAACAGAAATATCTTTATTGCTAACAGACAAAGGAACATTACAAGTGTTCATTACAGCTTTTACAATTTTCGTAGAGGCATGAGCGAGTCTATTGTGCCATACATCATAAGAGGTCTTAGACCTTTGAATATTCAGAACAGTAGGATCATGAACAACAATATGCTTATGAGTATCAGATTTCATGATTTGCACTTCATCAAAAACATATAAGCCATTTTTAAGATTCCCTCGTAGAAGAATTTCCTTCGAATCCTGAGATTTAACAAGGCAATGATGGGTGTGAAATTCAATGTAAACCTTATTATCTCTACAAAACTTAGATACGCTTAGCAGATTTTTGGTTACTTGAGGGACATGTAAAAGATCCTTTAAAGTAAAAATTTTGGATGACATAGGCCTTTTCTTGACCCGTATAATTAGATTTTGAGCCAAGATTACTCAAATCTGGTGTAAGATGATTAGTGGCTCCAGAATCTGGATACCATTGATCATCATATGCTGTATTTTGAGAGCCCGCATACATGGCTTGGAGTTGTTGTGAGTTCCCTGAGCTGTAAGAATTAGTGGTATTACTGAAATTAGGTTCAGTGAATTGCTGATCATACCTGTGCCAGCAGTGAAAGGCTATATGGCCCATCTTTCCACAGACTTGACACTGTTGCCTATTACCTCTTCCATAAGTCTGATTTGTTCTTCCCCGGCCTCTGCCTCTTTGAGAGTTTCTTCCATTGATATTATTATTAAAACCTCTACCTTGATTGGTGTACTGTTTTCTTGCATGAAGGTTTCCTTGGGCGAGGTTGACTTGGGGGGGTGCACTGTCACTCCGTTTGTGTTTTTCCAATCTTTCTTCGTGAGCCATCAGAAGCGCTTCAATTTTCTCAACAATGTAGTCTTCAGTTCTTGTAAGAACAGAGGTCACGAATGGATCATATTCTTCAGGCAGTCCATCAAAGATTGCATTAATGTGTTCGGTTGTGTCTAGAGGTGACCCAATTGATGCCAAGGTGTCTACAATCTTCTTGATTTCAAGAAGATATTGATTGATGGTAGTGGTTTTCTTGATGCCTCTGAGTTGAATCTTGAGTTGCTTAACACGGGCCTTGGTTTGAGAAGCAAAGTATGTTTCCAGATTTCTCCACATTTGATGGCACCACTCGTATCCAACCATTCTTACCTTGAATTGAGGCTCCATGCTTTCCAATAACCAAGATTTGAGCAAATTGTCTTGTTGATCAAAGTTTTCATATTCTGCACTAAGAACCCCTTTTGCTTCTTCTTCATCTGTCTTGTACCGAGGGAGAACGTGAGTTTCTCCAAGGATGTGTTTCTGTAGACGATACCCTCTGATTGTAGATTCGGCTTGTTGCCTCCACGTGAGAAAGTTATCATCACTGAGCTTGGATGAGATTGGGGTTAAGAAGATTTGCGGAATGAACAATTTTGTTGGTGCGGAAGCCATGGTGTTTCCCGAAAAATGAACCTTCAGCTCATGATACCATGTTAGAGAGAAAATGATAGAGAGTGAATTGTATTGAATCTGAAAAATATTGACTGCATTTAGAAACACAAAGATGTTGAACTTATATACAATAAGAGAACTAACTAGAGTTAGTATTTAACTCTACCTAACTAACTCAGTATCCTCTTTAATCTTCAATATTCATCCATGTATTGGATTCTTAAGGTTCCAGAATAAGACCGTTGAACTTCTTTTTTTCTTCTTCTTTTTACAGCAAAGAGAATTTTTCATGATTATTATTAGGAGTGTTAAAAAAACAACACATTATTATTTTGTATTAACGCTGGGTTTTTTCCCCCCCTCTTTTGAGTAACCACAATCTCTTATGAAGTTATGATAAGCTAAATCCAGGTTTTATGTCTGATAGTCATACTCGTGTGTATATGATAAACATATAGTCCTTATTGTTTTGTTATATTATCCTTATTGTTTGAGTTGTGTTTGAATAATTTTTTTCATAATTTTGTTTAGAAAATTAAAAATAATTAAAAGATTTTTTCATAATTAAAATTAATTTATCAAATTTTAATTAAAGAAATCATATAAATAAATTTTTACAAATTAAATTATACATAATAAAATTTTACTTATAATTTTTTTATTATTTTTTTAATGTGTTGTTTGAGTCTTGACATTGAAGGTTGAATGAGTCAAATTAGATATAAAGCATCCTCCATTGGAAAGTGTGCTCCAGAATTGATTGTGGTATCTGGGAGTGCCTTATCATATTCAAGGTACACCTTCCGACGCATCCGGCTACGAAAGTCCAAAGGCACTTTTTGTGTGGACAAAATAGAGAATGAAACATCAATGTGGATACGGCAACTATAAATATCTGACCTTAATTCTTTGCAATATTCGCAAATAGCATAGCACTAAATTACGTTACTTTTCTTTTTTTTTTTTCAGGAGGTAATTCTCCTCTTTTATATTAAATTTATAGTAAATTACATTTTTATCCTTAAAATTATAAATATTGTACTTTAACTTTACACTATATTAAAATATTTAATTTAAAATATTTAATTTAACATCTTAAAAATATTTATTTAAAATTTTTAAAATATACTTTTGATTAAAATATATGTTAAAATATTGTCATTTATTTATTTGATAATAAATTGTAAAATATATAATTAAATTTAAAATAATAATAATAATAATAAAATAGGAATTATAAAAATAAATTATATATATATATATTCAAAGGAATATTCGATAATAAAAAATAGTCTTATAAAAGTATTACATAACTACAACGATTAATTTAATTTATAAAAAAAAACATTTGTATTTGTTAAGGGAGGAAGCGTTTATTTAATTTTAATAAAAAAAATTGGTGTAATATTTACATCCTTGAGGGGATGTTAGTGTAAAAAATATTTTGATAATAACTTTTTTTTTAACTGAAGTTAACAAAATTTTAAATGAGAATTTTTAAAATGTATAAAATGTTATACATTGAAATTTCCAAGGGAGAGGATTGTAATTTTCAACATAAAAGAGAAGAGTAGTGTAATATTTATATCACTCATGTGAAGAGAGTGTAATCAACTCAAAATATTACTATTACAATAATTTTTTTTAGTAATAGATATAAATTATCACTAAAAGTTAAAATTTATAGGTAAATGTCTAATTTAGATTTACCTACAAATGATTTATTTGTCCATTATGTAAAATATATATTAACGACTTTGCATATTTTACTTACATTAAATAGTTGTAAGTATAAGTATTTGAATTTTATCTGCACTAAATATTTATAAGTAGAATCGTAGAAATAGTCTTTAGTTTTACTTAGAGTCATCATGTCTGAGAATAAAATGTTTGTAAGTATAACTCACTTTTTTTTTACACATTCATGTCAATAAATTTTGATATAATTATTATAAATAGTTAATTATATTTATTGAAACTTATTTTTTAATCTTGTATATTAAAATATTAAAAATTTATTTAAGTGATTCTTTTATTTTCAAAGGAATATTCGATAACAAATAGTCTTATAAATTAAATGTCACATGTTGATGCATTATTGAGTCACTAGTTAAACTAATGATTCATTAATTAAACTAGTCTCTATTAAGTGCATCAAATCTATAAGTATTTGAGTTTTACCTACACTAAATATTTATAGGTAGAATCATATAATTAGTCTTTAGTTTTACTTAGAGTCATCATGTCTGAAAATAAAACATTTATAAGTTTAACTCACTTTTTTTTACACATTCATGTCAACAAATTTTGATATAATTATTATAAATAGCTAAATATATTTATTGAAACTTATTTTTTAATCTTATATATTAAAATATTAAAAAATATTTATTTAAGTGATTCTTTTGTTTTCAAAGAAATATTCGATAAAAAGTAGTCTTATAAAATAAATGTCACATGTTGATGCATTATCGAGTCACTAATTAAACTAATGGGTCATTAGTTAAATTAGTATCTATTAGTTAAACTAGTATCTATTAAGTGTATCAAATAGTCTTAAAAAATAAATGTCACAACATGTTGATGCATTATTGAGTCACTAGTTAAACTATTGAGTCATTAATTAAACTAGTATCTATTAAGTGTATCAAATTCTATTATAAAATTTTATATATAAGTTATATTCCTTGTTTAATATACAAAGACATATGTTGAAGTGGTGGTTACAATTGTTTCAACTTACAAAAGACGTAAGGTTCAACCCTATTGAGGCTAAATTTTCAAATTTTCCATCTTAGTCATCTTCTGTATAGGAATAAGTCATAGATGAAAGAAGGGGTCAAATAAAAAAAAAAAAGTGGTCATAGACAAAATGAGTCATAGACAATAGAGGAAGAAGTTATTAAAAGATGAAATAGTTATAGAAAAACAAAATTAAGAAAGAAGGATTATACTAAGTTGTGAGTTGCATACATTATTTTCTAGAAACTCAAAGTTATATGTGCGACTTGAATAGTACATGAAAATAGGATGTCATCACAAAAGAAAACAATGGCCATAAGTTCTTTATTTATAGAATTTATAGTATAACGATTAAAATTCAAAGTTTTGACATGTGTATGATAACTGCCTAGTTTATTACAAGATTTTGACATGTGTTGAGTTGGTTACATGTCTAAAATATAGATAATAACTTATTTCTTCAACTATTAATAATTTATTTAGAATTAGTCATGTTTACTTGAAAAGTTTTATTGAGATAATTGCAAAATAACTCAGGCAGGTATAACCACTCTTTCAATATAATTGCAAAATTCTCAAACATAATTTCTCAAGATTTTAGGCTACATGACCAAATTTATTCTAAGTATTTTGTACCTTTATCAAACTATTCCTCTTTTTATGCAACATAAATCTTGACAAGTAATGGTCACATACTAAACCAAAAGGTTAAATTGTGTTTTCTGTGTCTTTATAATATTGAATTTGCAATTTTGGTTCCTCTATTTTTAAATCCACAATTTTAGTCTTTTAATTTTATAAAATATACAATTTTAGTCCTTTCGTTGAATGTTGATCTTTTAATCGTTAAAATTGTAATATTAATAATGATTTGATATTAAGTAGCTAATATAACAATTAATATTTAATAATATTTAGCTTAAATCTTTCTTTTTAGTTCTCACTTTTTTCTCATAAAAGTGACAAAATAAGATGAAAATAAGAAGTAAAAGTACAATTCAACTTAAATATCATTTAATATTAATTATTATATCATCTATATTATGTTAGGTCACAATAAATGCTACCATATTGTATATTATATAAACTAATGAGAGAAAAAATTGATTCATCTTAATTTATTATTATTTTCTACAATATTTATTGTGTCAAGATATATAGAGAAAAAATAATCAAAATTAAGTTATACTATTATATATTGAGAAAGTTCCTATGAATCACATTTATTGATAGTATACATAATACATCATTTTTATCATCCATTAAATTTTTACGATGGATAAGATCGACCAATATATTATTAGGCTTAAGCAAGTTTTAAAGTGATTTTTTTAAAAAAAAGTTAATAATAATATCTTTTGATATAAAAAATAAAATATTTTAAAAATAAATTTTAAAAAAATAATTATATTTATATATATTTTAAAAATGAGGCTTTTATAGTGAGTTTTTAAAAAAATGTAAAAAAGTAATTTTTAAGTTACGAAACTATAAAAGAATTATATACTTAATAATATGAATATTTATTTTGAAGGAAGCCTAAATAAACACTTTGTTGACTTTGATGATGGATGCTTCCAAATTTAATTTTTATTTATGTTAAAATAATATTTAGTGATTAAAAATTTCATTCCAAAAATACATATTAATCTTTCAAAATTACCTTTCTACAAAAAGAAATAAGTAGAGTTTTAAAATATAGCATATATCATGGCTATAATCTTGGACAATTGTGACTCGCGCACGGATAGTGTGGCAAGTTAATCCTCCTCTTCGACCCGACCAAGCTCCCCTTCTCTAACAGATGTTGTTTCTGCGTAATACAACAATACATTCGGAATGATTCAAGTGCCCAAAACAATAATGTGACTGAGAAAAAAAAAATTTAACTTTTGTAAAAAATATACTATACTAGATCATTTCATGTAAAACTTAATAAGAGTGATGCATATGAGGGCATTGCATCCATGGGTTAATAAGGTAATATACCGTATCACTGGTCTTATCTTATCTTATATATTTAATAAAGTTTGATTATTTTATAGAAGCAATAAGTAGTAGTAGTATTTTATAAGCAAGGGTGTCTGGGACCATCCATAACAAGTGTGCCGCTAGAAAGCGCACTTATCACTTATCAACAATAGCGCACACAGAAACCAAAACCTCTGACCCTTCCTTACCTCAAAAGTCTCAGAACCCTATCCATAGCTTAATAAACAAAGATATTTTTCGTTTAATCTCTTCCCTATCTAAACCCAACTTACATTAAAAAAATATCCAAACCCAACAAACTTTGTTTAACACAGCACATCACAGTGAGTAACACTCACCACTCTCTCTCTCTCTCTCTAATCCTTTCTGCTTCAACAATCCACACTCCTATGTTGTTGATGGAAAACTGTCTCATCCACCACCCCCATCACGCACTCCTCACCCTCCCATCATCATCCCATAAACCCCACTTCAGATTCTTCACAAGGCCTGATCTTGGTGGTGGTGGTGGCGGTGTCACTTCTTTTTCTTCGTCTTGTTTATTACACCATAGCCATAGGCGTAGACCCTTGATAAGGGCAAGTGCTGGAGCCAGCCACTGTGAGTTTAGTAGCCTGAACTCTCCTTTGGAGCCACGTTCCATGGTGGGCAAGTTCCTCAGTGGTGTGCTTCAGAACCACCCTCAGATGTTCCATGTTGCTGTTGGAGAAGAACTCAAGCTCTTGGCTGAGGATCGTGATGCGGCACATGCCCGCATGCTGCTTGGTTCTGCCTCCGATGAGGCCCTACTTCACAGGTTCGTGGATGATCACTTTTTATGTCCTTTTGGTTCGTCTTTTCTTAAATTTGTTTTTATGTGGTTTATGAGGTTAGAGTTTCGTGTGGTTTTTGATGGGAGGATCTTTCTATCTTGAAATATTAGTCAGACTGCACGTGTTTACTTGAGATTTGATCTGTGCCAAGGTTTTAAATTGTGGTTCGGTCACGGTTTTGCTTTCATCATAATCCTTGATTTTGCGAGAAATTGCGGATAAACGTGGCTGATGCGGTGGAGATCACAAAATCCTTGACGTTGCGGATTGTTTTTTAAAATTTTGATCTGTGTCTTTATGATATATGCGACTTCAATGAGGAAACTTTGGTGATCTCGCGTGTAAAATTATTAACTTTGCATCTGGGGTTTTACTAGTGGATGTGGAAGCGTAAGGGGGTTATATTTTCTTTATTTATTTAGGTGGGATTAACCTTTTCTTGTGAAATGCCTGATTTTATATGAAACGGGGAAGAAGGTTGAACTCAATTTTGTGAACTGGTAGAGATTAGATGTTTATTTATTTGTTTGTTTGTACAGATACATGAATGTAAGGAACGAGAATAGACAATTTGAACTTTAACAGGATTGATCTGGTTGTTTTATGGTTATCCATGTTGTGCTATTGAATGTTGATACATAAAGAAATTTTTTTCGCGAGTGTGAGAGAGAAACCATAACTGAAGGGGTAAGATATTTTCCACGACAGAGAAAACAGGGCAGAATGGTGAGCACAGGAAGAATCAAGAAGGCAGGTTGTTTAGATGGTAACTCTCTTGAAACATTCATAAGAAGACTCCAAAAACGATGACCTTATTCCGTGGCAAATTTTTGGGGCCGAGCTTGAGGATGCAAGCACGTTGCTACAAATCTCCAATCATATTGGCCAATTGCATATAATGCAGTTTGGTGACAAAGTTTTGGCTTGCATGTTTTGACCTTCATAGCTGAACATTTGAACCTGTCCAAGATAAAGCATGAAGTTAGTAGTTGTCAGGAACCCCTAAAAATTGTTCTATGGGAAGGTAAAAAGGCTTAAGAATAAGTGTCCTACTGCTTCTGAGCCAGCATGGTACATATCACTCACCAGGGAATGCTAGGTCAGTGAACTTGCCACAGGTCATTTACATTAATCCTATCTAGATTTAATCAATGGGATGTGTCTAGTCTGTATCCATAAGATAAGCATAGGTAATCATTAAGTAGTGAATACATAATGTCCATAATTTTTCACCTTGGTATTGGACATTCTTAAATGACATTTCAAAGAGACAGTGCCTCAATCCATTCTTTTTGCAAATGGTATAGTGATAATAGTTGATGAATCTAGAGAAGGATTAGATTCTAAACTTCATTGTTGAGAGTAGCAGCTTTGTCACGTGGGTTTTTGATTAAGTGGGAGTGAATAAGACAGCCTATTGAATGTAAGTTCAATATGATGTGAGTTAGTGATGGTTTGGTGGTGAAATTGATGATTGTATCAAACCATACAACACCTTGGTTGAAATTCCTTATCTAAAGCTAAACCAAACTTTCTCTGATCTTGACTGATTGTTTTGCAGCATCTTAACATTTGGTAGAAAACTATTTTTTTTCCAAAAATTAATGGCCTTATTCCTGTGCCGAGTGAAGCTTTGGAGGCTGAGAAATTAATGGTTACATGATTTTAAGCTGGTGATTTTAGAATTCCCTTCCTTGATCAAACCTTCAAACTTTGAGCATGAATAATCAGTATTTCACTATTTCTTGATATCTCTCCTTATTCGTTGATGATAAAACTTCTTACTTTTTGTGAGGGTAGCATAACTAACAGTATACTTTTGACCTCCATTGAAGCCTTGAAACAGACTATATGAGCTTTTATTGGATTTGAGATGAATTAATTTTTGCTTCCTTTTAAATATAGGCATTTCCTGTGCCCACTTTGACCTGAATGGTACCATAATATCTTTCACATTGTTTTAATTGGAGTTAAATATTCATGGACTTTTCAGATCTTAAGCATTATCTACATGATTAAATGAATTGGGGTATTGCCTGGCATCGAAGTCATACCCTGGAATGAAATATACAGAACGGTTAAACCTTCGTCTTAAATTGAGGTAGCTGCATAGTAAAATTGTAGTTATTCATTGAAAAGATGTTAACTTAAACCTTTTCTGAATGCCAGGAGGATTGCACAAGTTAAAGAGAACCAATGTCAAATTGCTGTAGAAGATGTTATGTACTTGCTGGTATTTTACAAGTTTTCTGAGATAAGGGTCCCTTTGGTTCCAAAGCTTTCTAGTTGCCTTTATAATGGCAGGCTAGAGATATTGCCTTCTAAGGACTGGGAACTAGAGTCTATTCACAGCTTGGAAGTTTTGGATATGATAAGAGAACACATAACTACTGTAACTGGCTTGAGAGCAAAATCTAGTGTAACTGAGTGCTGGGCAACAACCCAAGTTAGACAATGCTTACTTGCCCGAGTTTACGTTGCCTCCATATTATATGGTTACTTTTTGAAGTCAGTGTCACTGAGGTACCACCTAGAGCGAAACCTGTCTTTGGCTAATCATGATCTTCACCTTGGCCATAGGACTTCCCTTATGAGTTCTTATGGATTCAAAGATGCCATCTTTGGCCACTTGAGTCACATGCCATCCATAGGGCAAGGGTTAATCAGGGCGGAAGAGGATATTGAGGACTTAAAATGTTATGTTATGAGCTTTCACCCTGGATCATTGCAGAGATGTGCCAGATTGAGATCTAAGGAGGCTGTGAATTTGGTTGGGAGTTATAGTTGTGCACTTTTTAGCGACATGGAATCGGGTTCAGTTGAAAATGATGATGTTATTTTGACCTCGTTTTCTAGCCTGAAGAGACTAGTCTTGGAAGCTGTTGCTTTTGGATCTTTCCTTTGGGAGACAGAAGATTACATTGACAATGTATATAAGCTTAAGGATGATCAAGTAGTGTAAAGGCATTGGATGCCAAATAAGTTCTGAAGTCGTCGAGCGAATTCTCCTTGTATATATAGCGAGTTTTGGTTTTAGCTTGAGTGTTGGTTATGTTTATATTGTATATATAATGCACACTACATAATGTAAAGTTCTAGTGCTTGGACTTTCTTTAAGTTGATAGTATTTTAAATTGTAGAAAGTTGATCTCTTTATGTGGAACTGTATCTTTCTTTTGAATGTTTTCCAGGATTTTACATTATGTCACTAGAAAAAAGAATTGGAGTTTCTTATATGAAAAAGACAAAACTTACATGTAGTTTATTATTATTATTATTATTATTATTATTATTTTTGGTTATTTTTCGATCAAAATTGTCTTGTTAACCTATATTGATCTTTAATACAAATTTTTGTTATGCAGATATTCGAGGTTAAATTCTAATTTTGCCAGGAGAATAGTCGTAAAAGTACTTAAGAAATTGTATTTTCTAGTCTGGGCTCTTATATTTGCGCTCCTCTAATAACGTGTGCCTCCAGCGTTGAGTTATTGAAGCTTGATGTTGTTCAAAACAAAAATGGTGCTATATGGTCATTTCTTGCACGCAAACTTTCTTTTAAACTTAATATTGCCTTTTCCTTTCCTTCTGCATGTCACGTTGATGAAACTTATCAGCATTTTTAACTCTTTAAATCATAAGGACTTGTTTGATGGGTTGATGTTTTAGGCTTATGTTAATAATTACACAAATGTCGCTTTTCTACCTTGATTTTTTTGTTTACAGATTTTTCTATTAAAAATATCAATTTGATTGAGGATTAAATTGAAGGTTTTAGTCTATTGCTTTTCAATTTTCATGACTAAAACTGAAGGCGCAAACTACGCAGCATTAGAGAATGAAACTAGATATTTCCTAGCGCTACATGTGAAGTGTAATTGCTTCCAAGCATGAGTGAAACAAATCTTCAATGATTCACCAAAAGTTTAGTGTGTATTTTTTTATAATATTTTTAATTATCCTTGTGAATTTTCCTAGACGATGTTTGGTACATAACTAATCCATTGACTTGTAGCTTGAAACTTCTCTAAACAATGGCTACAACAATAGTATACTTGTATTATACAGAATTTGAACCTTTAAACTCTGATAATTCTAACTTTATGCTACAAAACCATTGCTTTAGCTTTCTAGTCTTCTCCATCAAGCCTTCCATGCAATGTTGGTTCTTCATAGAGTAATTATATTTGCTTCAAGGTGTGTTTAGACCTAATTGCTCAGCTGATTATGGAAGCAATGAATTTGCTAGTCTTTGCAGTGTTTGATCTTCTAAAAGATGGCATCAAAGGATCAAATATCGGTTATTGGGTCTGTGGTTGAGGTTCTTGCAGAGAAATTAAAGATCTCATTTGAGGAGCTTTTGAAAGATTTGACAAAGCTATTTGATGATCTTCTCTCTAAGTATTTCTAGAAGATAAAAAATAGGAAGGAAAATTAAAATAAGCTTCTCTATAAATTAAAACTAGTTTATTCACAAGTTAAAAATAAGATTTTGAAAAAATTAATAGGATAGAATTTCTACAAATTAGTTTATGTATAAGTTGATTTTAACTTATTAGGAAGTTTATTTCGTTTTTTTCCTCTATTTTTCTCTTCTAATTTTTTTTTAAAAGATATTTATCCAAATAGATCTATTATCGTATTTAATTGAAAAGTCAATAGAAATTTGTAATTGTGTTTCCAGACATTACCTAACTAATCGTATTTTCTATTTTATAGGGCCTGATACCAAGTAATATTCAAGAACCACAGCACCCGACTTCAGTTGGTACAAGTATCCCTATAACTGGATTTTAGGTAAACCCACTTCAGTTGCCTTGTAATAGTTGTCTTTGTCTAACATGCTATTTGCAGTAGGGCCTAAGTATTACTTAAAAGAGTACTAATTGTTCAGTTGGGGGATTCTTAGAGTTTTCAAGTTTTAAGTTTCGTGTAAGTTTCTTATAAGCAATACAAGAGCAATGAAACCTTGCAGCTTATACTTCACATTTTTGTCTTAAGATTCTATTCCTTTTTGAAAAAACTATAGGAGAACATATAAACTGGTTGCAAATATATATTATGTTAATGCAGGTTATGCACAATTTGCATCTTCCAATTTAATCACCAATAAGAGGCATGAGACAAGCTCCACTAGTTAGATCTTCCCCCAATTGGGTCTGTTCCATTGCCACCAGCACCTTCTGGTTTAAGGAACACACAACCACGTTTTATGAACTTCATCCCAACTCCTATGTTGCCACCTCATGGACGAAATCAATCTTGAATTCAAGTCAATTTGCTGCAACTACAGTGGAAGACTTTCTCGAATTCACATTAAATGATGTAAAAATGCACATCGAATGTGCTCATGTTTTGAATCTTTTTTGTTTTAAACTTGTTGTAAATACCATGAAGGTGTTGTACTTGTTACTTGTTAATGCAACTTGAAGATCATTTTGGTGGAGAAAATGCAGTATTGCCTTTATTTCTTTTGTTTAATCTTCAAGTGCTTCATTTCAGTTTTTCTCTGAGGTGTGTTAATTTAAACGATGGTTTATTTGTCAAGTGCTTCAGTTCAGTTTTTCTATAAAAAGTGTTAATTTAAATGACGGGTTTTCTTGTTAAATGACGATTCAGTTGAAATTTTCTAAAAAAACTCCTTGATATTAAGGAGAAGATTTTGAATTAATGTATTTCAATTAAAATAACGATAAAATGGGCAAAGAATAATAGGTTTAGGCTTCACTTCATTAGAATTAGGAATGAGAAACAAACACTCTTCTGAACTTGAAACAAAAAAAAAATTTGCAATCAACTGAAGCCTAAACATATCAATTAGTATTGCTGGACCATTAAAATTGAACTTTAATTTGTTTACTCCCCGAAAAACATAACAGACTAGTGGTAACAATAGTTGAGCATCCAATATGGAGCCATGAAATTTGTTGATTTTAAAATTTAGTCACATAATTTTATCTCTTAAGCTACTTTTACAAAATCAAGTTTCTCGACTCGATAGTTATAAGACTGCTTTAACTATGCTATTGTCTTCAGTTGTACAATGTGTTTTTGTAGTCTTGTTACATTCCTACTTGGCAAAGACCAAAAAGCTAGAATCCTTTTAGTTGAAATAAACGTTTCCATTTGCAGTCGAGTTCTAAAACAGACTTTATTATTAAATTTTATGAAAAATGCTAGTAATGTGATTATTGGACATAATTAACGTGAGAGTTACTAAATTATACGTTTAATTTTTTATTTAGTGAAATTCTCCTGAAACAAACTAATAATAATATTGGATTGAAAAAAAAAATTACTCATAAAATTTCTCAAAGGTTAATTAAAGATGACATGATATGTTACTCATCGCAAAATCAACCCCACCTCCACCTTAAAGACCTGTATTTTTGGTCTCCATGATGTTGATATACAAAATAAAGTTGAGAAAAAATCCAACAAAGTAAATCCTCCACATGCTCGATGTACCATAGCCTCCACCTCTTCCAAACAATAAGGGGAAGGATGATTGATCCAAGTCCAAAAATGAATCCCAACTCAGTACTTAGAAAGTTCCAATCAATTGAGCTATGTGTTTCATCATAAGCTAGAGATGGTGTTGTTGGTGACTCATCATCAATACAATTTTTGGTTAGTGGGGGTCCACATAACCATATATTCCCTTCAAAGGAATCTGATTCAAAAGATTGAATTTGCGTTCCCGTTGGAATTTTCCCTGCTAGATGATTAAAAGAGAGATTCAAAACTGAGAGGAAAGATAAACTTGAAATCTCAGTAGGAATTTCTCCACTCAAAAGGTTACTTGATAGGTCCAAGGACTCAAGTTGGGTCAAATTTCCCAAAGATGATGGTATATGGCTTGAAAAAGCATTATGTGACAAGTTAAGAACAATCAATGCTCTAAAACTCATAAGCTCTTCTGGTATTGGACCTTCAAAATGATTTGATGACAAATCCATTGAAGCAAAGATGGTTGGAATTTTGACAAACTTCATTTGCAAGCCTTTGTTGACAACCGTAGCTGAATCTAAGTAGGCTCCCCCAAATTGCAATTGGTAAGCATTCACAAAATAAGAGAACATAATGTCTGTGGCCAAACGAGGTATAGCTGCTAAAATTTTGGCCAACTTCATGACAAGAATTTTGTCAATAGAAGCCAATGCATCCTTGTAACGAACAGAATGATGAAAGTCATACAAGTCAAAAAATAAATTTCCAGACTTTTGTTGTGTTTCACCTTTATCACCAACCATTGCTATCCAATTTCTCAAAAGTGCTTGTGGTAGGGTACCAGAGAAGTTATTGGAGGCTAGATCAACAATATGAAGCATCTCCCAATTACCGGTGCTCTGTTGACATTCAATGGGACCATGAAGTTTGTTTGTCCTTAAAATCATCACTCGGAGGGTAGAAATATTCCACAAGAAACATGGAAATCTATCACTCAATATGTTATTTCCCAAGTTCAAGACTTCTAATTTTTGACAATTGACTAAAGACTTTGGAATAGCACCCCCCAAGAGATTCCCATTGAGATTGAGGAATCTTAAATTACACGAACTTGAAATTGTGTTAGATAAAGGTCCTGTAAGTTTGTTTCCACCTATATCTAATACCCTTAGAGTACTGCTTCTTGAGGTCAAACACCCGGGCATGGAGCCATTAAAGTTGTTATGGGAAAGGTCGAGCATCCGTAGAATAGAACAATTGCAAAAGGATTGAGGGATTTTCCCATGAAAGCTATTGTTTGAGAGGGACAGGAAATATGTATAACGAAGACAGCTTCTTATGTCCGATGGGATAATGTTGAATTTATTGCTTGAAAAGTCCAAATGGACAGCACCTTTTATGAAACTGGGAATTGACCCACGAAGTTGGTTGTTGTGAAGATCAACCATCCACGTATTACAACTGAGATTTTCAAAGGGTCCTTCCATGCCTATCAAAAAATTGTTGGATAGGTTCAGATTGAGCATATTATCAAATCTCCAAATCCAATTGGGTATCATTCCTTGAATTTGGTTGTTAGACAAGTCTAAAGCAAGCAGTTGGGATTGATTTCTCAAGAAAGCTGGAATTTTCCTTAACTTGCAATTACCCAAATATAGATTTTTCAAACTAGGAAATGATGAAAGGCCATGATCATCGGTGAAAGTGGTATCAACCGACAAGTTGTTGTATGAAAGGCCTAATATACGTAGGTTTTGCAGCTTTTGAAACACATCTAATCGTATGGTGCCATTGAATTGATTTGAAGAAAGATGGAGATAGCCAAGACTTCTAAAATGAAGAAAAGACATAGGAACAGGTCCTTGGAACCTGTTATTGCTTAAATCAACAAACTGCAATGAGGAGAAAGATGCATTTTGGAATTCATCCAATACACCATCAAAATTATTATGAGAAAGGATAAGCTCCTGTAGAAATGGAAGTGCAAAGAGAGTTGGGGGTACTTTCCCATTGAAGGAGTTATCACCCAAATTGAGGCTAACGAGATTTAAAAGTCCTTTCCAGTGAGTAGATGTAATTTGACCTGTGAAATCATTTTCAAAAAGGGATAAATATTTGAGATTCTTGGACTCATTGAGCGATGGAAGAGGACCACTGAAGTTATTGAATGACAAGTCCAAGTGAAAGAGCTGGGTGAGTCTTGATAATGAGAGAGGGAGTGTTCCATTGAATTGGCAGTTAGATAGATCCAATGTAGACAATTGCTTCAAATTGGAAATAGTACCGGGTAATGGCCCAGAGAAATTTGAATTGCTAACATTCAAGGTTTGAAGAAGTCCACCTTGTGGGAATTTTGGCAATGAACCACAAAGGTCTTGATTATCTGATACATCAAGGACCTTTAGTTTTTGTATTTGGAAGATACCCTTTGGAAAAACATCAGTCAATCCACAACCTCTAAGTTGTAGAGTGGTCAAACTTGATAGATTTCCCAAGGATTTTGGCACTGGGCTTGACATATTATTCAAGCTCAATTGAACAATTGAAAGTGACTGAAGCTTTGATAGTGAGGAATCGATTGGTCCTGAGAGGTTGCAGGATGACATGCTCAGAACTTGAAGTTTGTGCAATGAAGATATGGCATGATACCATTCCTTTCCAGTGGCAAATACCTTTACACCATCTAGATATAATTCTACCAGTTCTGTGAGGTTTTGCAAAAGTGTTCCTAAATTTGGCTTCTCAAGTTTTAGAGTTTTTTGTGAGGTAAATGATGTGGACAAGTCGAGAGTAGATAGCTTGGTTAGATGAGCAATTTCAACTGGAATTTGCCCTTGAAATCCAGCATTTGACAAGTTCAAATACTTCAATTTCTTTAGAAAGCCAAACTTTAATGGAATCGAAGAATGGATGTCATTGTGTGCCAAATTCAAATTTTGCAAATATTCTAGGTCGTAGAGACTCGAATTGTCCAAGCCTCCGGTGATAAATTCTTCACTCAAGTCGAGACTAATTACACGTCCCTTGCTGCATGCTACTCCATTCCATTGACAACAATCGCCGCTTTGATTCCAATGAACTAGCTTTTGGGATCTGGCTAGGTTGAATATAAGGTTATGCTTCATATTGACCAACAAGAATTGTTGATGAACAAGACAGTGGCTTGTTGCATTGATATTGGTACTCAGGTTTATAAAACATATGGATATAAAGAAAGACAATAAGGCTGGATGGAGTCTCATTGGTGATGATGGTTTTAAGGCACCTTGTGATTGATGGGTACAACAATAAGGATTGTGATGTTTTAGCTTAGAATGTTTTCCACTTATATATAGCGTGCTATATCATCAAATTCTAATGTGAATGAGTAAGTTTCTACCCCCATCATTCCTTGAAAGGAATCTTGACTTTTTTCATTCAAAATAACAAAAGTACCAATATAGGTTGAAATAAAATTGGAATCATGGTGAGTCTAACATAACATCGTAATATCCTTGCAAGAGGATGAAGAACATGATTAATTAATTTACTTTATAATAAAATTAATGGGATATATTGAATTGAGATTTTGAAAGATTATTTTAGCAAGAAATTTTTTTATGGATTTTAATAGATTTTAACAGATTTTAATGGATTTATATCATAAAATATTAAAAAAAAATTATGAATTTCACATGAAAACATGGATTTATAAAACACATTTAATGCTACAAAAATTAATAATAAAAAAATAACATACATAGATAATAAAGAAAAGTAAAATCAATACAAATTTTTTTATCTTTTGACAAATAATTATTTCTATCTTTTGATAAATATTTGACTCTAATGTTCTCTTAATTAACATTTCTTCATATATCTAAAGTTATATTATTCTTTCATACATTAACATATTCTCTTTAATGCTCTTGAGTTTGAATAATATATTCAAAATTATGGTCTTCACTAACTGATAGCACTGAAGTTGAAGATTCATCTCAAATGATTCAATTGAAAATTTATCATAACGACCTTTTTTGTGAAGAAAGTTATGTAGTGTTATACATGTCAATACAAGTTCAACTTGTATCTTAAATAAAAATAGAGGCACTGACTTAAAAATTATAAAGTGTGATTTAAAAATATTAAATATTCTCTCAATTAGACTTCTCAATGACACATGACGTAAATTGAACATTTGAAACTTCATTTTCATTTTCAGTCATTACCATGACATGCAAAATCTTGGAGATGAAATCCCACATCTCAAAATGGAACTAAAAATTGATGTTTATTAGAAAATTCACAGTCCACTAGAAAATATTTACCTAATTACATATACAACACATAAAATTAGTATGAAAAGTTAAAAAATATTTATTATTACAAAAATATTTACCTTGAGGCACTTTAAGTTCATTTCTCCTTGTCAAAGCATTACTTAATAACTTGAAATCATGAGCTGAACCCTTCCACCCACTAAGAACATACATGAATTCAAAATTAAAGTTTCAAATCGCTAATATATTTTGTGATATCTTTCCATGACGATTACAATAATTGTCTATATCTTGTTTTCTCACCATTATCAAAATATAAGCACCATCAATGTCTTTGATACAATCCAAATTTCTTTTATATATTATTAAAGTTCAACCATTATAACTCCACTAAAATATAAATCAAATATTTCAACCAAAATACAATCAAAATGACACTTAAAAAAATATAGTTCATCAAAGTATTAATCATCCCAACTTGAAATTTATCCAAGATGAACGTTCTTCTAATAACATCTTAAAGAAAATATCTTTTTTTTTACTTTAGTATCAAACAAATAAACAGCCATAACATGAGTTTCATTATCCAAGTTTGAAATTTATTTTATAACATTCCAAATATTATGTATTATTTTTCTCTTTTTCTCTGTTTTTTTCTCTTTTCTCTAATATGTTTGATATTTTTTTCAAAATTGACAATAATAGTCTCAATGCCAATAGAAAGAGTATCTATAACTTTGGTATGATTGTTGATATCAATTGAATTAGAACTCCCTCTACACTCGGATCTACTTTTCTTCTAACGACTTGATTTTGTAATGAAAACCTCCAAAATTAAAAAGGGGAACTAAACAGTGGACTACATTCCTAAGGTGGTGAAGGTTAGTAGGATTATTTGTAATTATTAGATTGATAAATAAAAATGTAACAAAAAAATATTTTATAGATAAAAAATATAGAAGAAAAAAAATGTAATTCCAATGAATGAAAAAAAAACACTATTCAAAAGAAAAATAAATAAGATACAAAAAAAACTTATCTAAAAAAGGGTTAAAAAAAATATCTTTAAAATAAAAATTATATAAGCAAAATAGAATATTTTATCTTAAAAGATGAAAGAGTATAAAAAAGAATAGAATATTTTTGTAAAAATAAAATAAATAAATGACAATTAAATGTCATTCTTTAAATTAGTAGAGAGAAAAATATTTTGTGTCCCCGTTAATAAAAAAAATAGTTAATTTTGATAGAATGAATAATTACATGAAGAAAGTGATGATAATTAAAAGGTAATTTATAATAATAAAATATCTTTAAAATGTGTACACAAAAAGAGTATATCATATTTATGTATTGTTATATTGTTATAGATTAAAAATAAAAGTAATTAGAATCCAGTTCATCCCAACTTTCATAACCTGCAATTAGGTTTATGAACTCAACTCATCTAATCTTTTCCATCGTAAAAATAAGCAAGAAATGAAGAAAAAAAATCATTATGACTGTAAAGGGACTTAGTTTCAAGCGTTATTTTTTTTAATTTTAAGCAATGTTTTATTAATTAGCATAACAAAATTGAAAATTGAAGTCATATATGTGAATATGGTACATGTCAAGTTCTAGTTATATGACTTGATTTTGGACGAATTGCGATTTAAAACCAAATTTTCTGGTCAGAAAGACTTCTCAAACACGAAATGCTACTTTGTTGTTGCTGCCCTGCTGGGACTTGATCAACGCACTATTGACCTTTACTAAATTTTAGCGGAGAAAACGTCAAAATTTTTGAACAATCTAGTGCGAATACAAAATTAATTCAAAATTCAATATTACGTATCCGAAGGGATTGAGACAAGTTGAATTCGACATTAAGTTTAGGTATGGTCTGTGAATTTTATTATTTTTTTCTTCTAAAGAGTCAAAGTTAAAGTGTGATGGTTTAAAAGTGTGTTTATAACTTAGTTATTTTTATCTTATTGAATTATTTTTTAAATTTATTAATTTAATATTTAAAATATATTTTTAAACTAAAGGATGCTTTTTTTTTTTTTTTACACAATACTGAAGGATGAATTAGTAATTAAAAAACATGTATAATTTTGTACTCGTAATGGTAAGTTAAGACCGGAAGATATGATGTATTTAAAAGAGAATATGATGTATAGTTAAGACCGGAAGATGAAATCTTTGGTAATGGAAGCGGTTAAATTTTCATAAATTAAAAAGGTTGACGATGACTTGTTTTGAAAATTAGAAATTAAACAGGTCTATGTAAATATAAAATGATAATAAATAGCATAATTATTTATGTGAATGTCGTAAATAACTTTTTTATGTAATACAGTCTTTTTTTTTCTCTCTCACTATATATATATATAAATAAAAGAGGATCTATCTGCTCCAAAATTCAATAACTCATATATTTATATCAAATTTTAACAATTTAATTATTAAATTAATTTTTTAATATATGCATCAAGTTTATAAATTTTTAAAAATAAAATAAAAATATATAATACTTTATTATATGAATTCAAAGTAACATATAATACGTGGAGTGATCCACTTACTCAAATAATAAATTTTGGTAAACTAACTTCACTTGATAACTTATGTTCTACATCAAATTTAAATGATTTAGTGGTTAAATTACAAATTCTTAATATATAAATCTAGTTAACAAAATTTCAAAAAAAAAATATAAAACTATTTGATATTTCGTTTTATTAATTCAAATTGATTGATAATCATAAAGACAAAACTCAAGTACATTTCTTTAGGTGTTGTTCTCCAATCAGCATTGGAGTTTTACATCAATAGTATGTGTAAATATATATTAATGAGACCAGCATTAAAATCACTTGCATAATACTATTGTAAAACTTCAACTCTAATCGGAGAATAACACTAACTATATTTAAGAAATTGTACCTAAGTTTTGTCCTAATTATAAAAAGTATTTAATATGTTAATTTAAATCTATATAACGAAGTATCATATATTTTTAACTTTTTAAAAATTTATAAATTTGACTTATACATTAAAAACTTTTAATTTAATAATTGCATCGATAAAATTTTATGTAAAACATAAATTATTGAGTAGAGTAAGTATATCAAGACTTACTCTTAGAATAAGTGGATCATCTCTATCCATCTATCTATCTAGTTACTTCAAGGGTAAGTTTTTGTAGACTTACTTCACCTAATAATTCATGATTAATACAACTAGTGGTGTTCGTAGTGCAATTTGGTTCAATTTTTGCCTTAAAAAGCTACCTAAGCTTAAAAATTAAGTGTTTGATTTAGTTATTGTGGTTTCTTAAAATTTTTTTATTTAAAAATCAACTAAAAATATGTAATATTATGTTATTTGTTTAAGACTGTACATCAAAAACAAAACTTAAAAAATACTAAAATATTTTGATCACTTTATGTATTTAATACCAAATTTTATCTTATTATTTTCGTAAAAATATTTCTTTAATACAATTTTAGTATCATATGAAATATTTTTCTTCATAAATATAGTTTGTCACTAAAAGAAATTATTTTTGAATGTTATAAATAATTCATATTTTTTCATTTTGAAATTCAGTTTAGTAGCTTATAATTTTATAAAATATATTTTAAATAGGTACAATGATATTTTTTGTCTTTTATCTTGCTGGTTAGGTTTAGTATGGTTGTTTATTTGTTAAAATATTTGTTTTGATTTTTTTATCTTTTATATTTGAATCGAGTAGGTTCTTTTAAAATAATAATCATTTTCAATTTTGTAAAATAATTTTGAATTAATTTTTTTACTGATTCAATATTTGAAACTTGTAACATTAAAATCACCTATATAAAAAATAAAGAAATTGAATTAACATTCAAATTAAAAAAAGGCTATGAACATCGTGAAAATTACGTGAAAAATGTATTCCATGAATAATAAAAAAAACAATATGAAAATAGATATTTTGAATTTTTTGGACTTATTATTATGTGATCTACAACATGTTTATGACATTTTTTTGTTTTGAACTTCAATCGTAATCAATAGTTTTAAGGTAAGTTAATATAATGAAACAAATTTCTAGTTTTGAATCATTAAAGAAATCAATCAAAATCTTGTCCCAAAATTGAAAATAATTATTGTTTAAAAAAGGACTAAATGACCCAAATTTAAGAGTTAAATGACCAAAATTGTAACACCCAAATTTTTATTATTATTTTAATGGCATTTTCGTAATTTTAATAAAGTTATAGGGGTATTTTGGGTTCTGGAACGGGCCGTTCCAAAAGTGAAACGGGCCGTTCCAAATGTTGAAAATGTGAGGTTTTTGTAGTCCTAGAACGGCCTTGGAACGGGCCGTTCCGGTATGGAGAACGGGCCGTTCCGGAAGGAGAACGGGCCGTTCTTCTGAGATTGAGAACGGGCCGTTCTGATTTCAGAACGGGCCGTTCTGGTTTTTTGGGAACGGGCCGTTTCGATTTTGGAACGGGCCGTTCCAGTTACAAATTTTGCCCAGATTTGAAGGATCCGGAACGGGCCGTTCCGAAATCAGTACGGGCCGTTCCGGGTGCGTCAGATTGCCTATAAATAGGGGCAGGGGGGTGAAATTTTTTATACAGAGGAAGAAAGTGAAATTTTAGAGAGAGAAAGAGAAGAGAGAGAGAGAGAGAGAGAAAGAAAGAGAAAGAAAGAGAGAGAGAAAGGAAGAGGGAATCCAGAGGAGGAGGCTCTGCCTAAGTTCAGCTCCGCTTATCCAGGTAAGGGGGGGAGTGAGAACCTCGCTCAGGGGTGTAGGGATAATTGTTGGATAGTTGTTTGTCGGATTGGCCCC